GATCAAAAGAGCAACAGCAAAACTGGCAATTTAACTTCCTTCAAAGAGCAAACATTCAACAGAGAAAAACGATATAAAAGGTCTTATATACGTAACAGGAGATGTGTATAGCAGGTTGAAGCTGAAAAGAACAATCTCACTGGTTGCTATAGGCAACACAAGCACTTTCATGCAAATATTTGTCCTTTATGAGGACTCATGTAGTATTGATAAAGCTGATATATGAGGCCTGGTTCACATTTGCACATATCAAGACCCGCAAGGCGATTCATGCATTTGTGGAAACGTGCACAAACGCAAAACGACTTGTGGTGCCACTCATTTCTAGTGGCACCCTAAACATGGCCGGCAAGTCACGTGGGTTTCCACTCATGCAAAGGAGCACAAATGAGGCAGAAAAAAAATGTGTCCTGTGTGTTGCATAAAATAGTGCAGGAGCCTTTTTGCCGAACGGATATGACCCCATTGAAATCAATAGGGCCGCGCGACACAGACTTGCAATTGTAAGCCAGGCCGCAAGTAGGGAGAAAGTGAGGCGTGCCACATCCCAATCTAAACCGCTATAAAAAAATATATATACAAGGACAGACTTTTAAGGCACCACTTAGGCCAATTAAATCAATTTACAGCATTTTTTATTAGATACAAAAACTACTTGAGAAATAATGATTTTTGTATCTAAGAAAAAATGCTGTAAATTGATTTAATTGGGCTAAGTAGGTGCCTTAAAAGTCTGTCCCTATATCATTTTTATGTTGAAGAAGCTGATACAAAGTAAAAGAGCGATTACTCCCATAGCCCCAGAACCTGCCAATCCACTCGGATAGCTATACTCAAAAGACAACCACCAAATTCTAAGGGGAACAGTAACATTTATTCAATAAGCCGAAGAGCAAAGTGCAATAGCTTCTAGAAATCAATGATCTGATTATGGAAACAATATGCAATCTTAAAGCTCAACTCCATCCAAAGCATTTTTTGTTTAGTTTTTGAGTGGAGAAGAGTAAGAACCGGTCAGGTGTCCTATTGGGGAGATTTCCCTTGCTGTCCTGGTGACACCCAGCATACTAAGCTGGACATGGTGTCACAGAAAGCAGTGAAACAGAAATTTCAAGATATCCAAATTACAAAATAAGTGCACATATTCATTTTGCCCTCCTCCCCCCGACCTAACAGACTCCAACCCTATTCTCCGCAGATGCATACTTACTAAGATCTGGGGCTTGGGGCCTCCTGCGTTTGTTTACATCCCACACTGAAATCCTCTCTCTGCTCCATAGACTCTATGGGGCTCTACTCAGCAGATACAGCTAGAAGAGAGAGGACTTTGGTGTGGGATGTCAGTCCCAAGAGGTCCTGAGTGTCAAACCTCAGTCAGAATGCATTTGTGGAGGGGGAGAAGGGCAAAATGAATGTCTACTTTCTCTGAAAAGGAATAAAGTTGGTTGTTTTAGCTTACTGCCACTTTGTACATTATCCACCTTTTTGTCCCCTTTGCTAAATATATGCACGAAAATTATGAATACATACAATTTAAAGTAAACTGGATCAGGGACTGGTCAAGGGTCTGACACATATTAGTGCTTCAGTGATGGAGAGACAGTAAAAGCCTGTTCAACATGTTATAAGGCCGGTAATCCAAAGTCTATAACAATACAGCAAATATATGTTCAAGTTATTGGAAAATAAAATATATTATCCATACTTGCTGAAATGTGTGACCGTGTTGGAATTATTGTAAGTAAAACAGCTGCAACTTGTCCAAATGACATCCTGAGATGGAAAAACAATTACCTAGACTCCACCTTAGAAAGGTAAAACACTTCTAGAACATTGCAAAGTGACACCCTAAACAACTGAAATTACACGTCGTTATTTCCAAGTGTTGCAATGTTGTCATGGAGAAACAAAGCCAATGGCTCTGTATGATTTATAAAGGAACGGCCATGAGATGGCTGAATTTTGCTGCCCTCTTGTGGCAGGAAATCTGCAATACAATGCAATCTATGTCGTGAAGAAGGACTGAACTTTACAGAGATCTCAGTAAACAATTGTTTTAAACAGTGTTCCACAGACCAAACATTTTAGCAAATAACACATGTATAGACTATTTTGGAAGGCTGCTATCTTCAGACATTATCAGATACATTTTAAATAGCATTTTCAGGAAGCAGCCATGAAATGTTTTAGGGATAACCAAGCAATATTTGTGTTCTTACAGCTTTACTGCACGTGTTATTTCTAACAAATATAAACAGAGCTTACAGAGTCACATGACTGTATTTCATTAATAAAGCACTACTTAAAGTGCATGTCAGGGCAAAATTTAAAAAAAAAAGGCAGTAAATCTCCCCACACATTCCCATTTCCACATGTTTTATCACTTTAAAGACCCTCCACGTACAGAAAAATACCTGTTGATCTGCCAGAAATGCACTAAGCTCCTAACTGCTGTTGTGGGTTGACAACCAACAGCATTTTTGTGGACTGAGTGGTGTCAGCCCTGCCCAGTTTTTTATTTTTCTAAACTGCTGAATCTCATACCCCTTATTCAAATCTCCACAACATAAGCACTAATTGATCCTTAGACTTAAGTTGAGAACTAAGAGGCTCCTTAAGATAACAGAGGAATTGTGGACAGGACACAGGGCAGCTCAGAATTCCTTACAAGATTGACAGGTATTTTTTTACAGTTATTGAACACACATAACAAACACTTTCAATCATATACATATATTGGTCCAAACTTGAGCCCATTCCTAGTCCATAGCAGAAACTCCACTATGCCATCAGTCCTTTTCTGGGTTAAATGACCCATGGACAACCCCCTGCAAGTGCATCACCACATTGGCCCAAGACTATAGTACAATACTCCATAGAACCAATGTCACGCCAATCTCTATGGTATTGAAGACTGCCCACCACCACAGCAGGGGGTAGAGAAAGACTCAAATATGTCATGTGACCAGCCAGAAGACCCCAGGAAAAAAGAAAACTATGTGTTAATGGTATTTATTTATTTATTTTACTATGCATTACAAAAAGTATGGGGAATGGGGGAAGACAGGTGAGGAGTTATTCAAAAGATGGACTTCTGCTTTAAGTTAAAGCAGAACTCCAGGATTTAAAAAAAAAAAAAGAACCCTTGCAGTAGGGAGATTTCCGCACTGCAAGCGTTAACTGTTGGTTTCAGCTAGGGGCGTGAAAATAACGAAGAAATACTTACTTGATTCCATGATGTCATCATGTGTAATACACAGTCTATTAGATGTGAAGACGCTGAGGGACATACCCGACGGGGGGAGAGGTGAGCGATCACTGCCTGAGGACTGAGAATATGGTGAGTATTTCTTTAAACGAGCAGAAAAATGAGCAGTTAACCCTTGCAGTGCAGGGGTAACCCCACTGCAAGGTTTACGTTTTTTCAAAGCCCTGGAGTTCTTCTTTAAATAAAAAGTTTCAAGACATTGGGAGATCTTTAACATATGTTACCCCCACATCCACCCATCATAACATTTCCTTATGTAACTGCATTAAAAAGATAACTTAATGGTTTACAGGGACATTATACACAAATCCAATAATAACCAACTCTAATAAACCTGCTTAAGGGATTCAATAACAAATCTGTTGTATAATTATACTAATTGGAGACAGCACAACCAACAAAGCAGTTCCAGCAATCCTAAGAATGCTTTCTTGTGACCATAAAGGTAGTGTAATAATATCATGGGCTGTCTGTGTTGCTTGGTTATTGAAGTGGCCCATACAAAACAAAGGTCTGGCATGAATATTCTTTAGATTTCTCATTAGCCACTATGTCAACATGTTAGAACAAGAACTAGCTCATGCTGTGTTTGTTGTCTATTTTTAGCCGGTTTTCCCCTGGAGGAGTTCAGGTGAGCTCAGTGACATGACGTCGGCAACTAAGCTGAGCAAAGAGAAGGAAAATAGAAGGGTCAGGGTGACAAAACTATTTTTTGATATCCAGCCCTGTTGACACATTGGAACACAAAAGGGAGCATGTAAAGTAAACAGAGCAATGAAAGGCATATTTACATGTTACACTTTTCCCAACAAAGACTTCCAAGTAAAGAGGAAAGAAAGTGAGGTTAATAATCAGTCTGTACAAAAAGGCCACAGATTCAAGGGACAATGAGAAGCCTTTACTCAGAAGCCTTAAAAGCAGAAAACACTTCACACCATTGAACATGCACAAAAAGGGCCTCATGTATCAAAGTGTCAGCACTAAGAACTGGTATTATTTCTCACGGTCGGCAAATAATTCAACACTTCCGTGTCTGAAAATGACAGCTCTGAATGTGTAAGTATTCATAATAGCTGTGTGCAAACATTTGTAGTACTGACACATTGATCCATAAGACCCCTGGGGAGTTGCTGCATTTAAATAAGTGGTCAAATATATACTTACATTAGCCACATATTTAAATATTACATGCTAATTACAGGGAAACAGTCTTTTGGTTCACTCATAGGGAACATAGAACCCAAGCTTTCCCTATTTATTTTATGAAGACATGGACTAAAAATTCTATTTAGTCTCTATAGGCAACCATTCTGATTTTTGGATTCTTGATTTGAGGCCAATCACATGCTTCCCTGATGGTATGGCATGATGGATAAGTATCTGGTTGTATTTCTCAGCAATAAGGACACCATTGAACCTGACCAAATCTCCAACTCCATTGGCAGAAATGCAGCCCCAGACTTGCAGGGAACCTCCACCATGCGTCACTGTTGCCTGCAGACACTCATTATTGTACTGCTCTCCAACCCTTCAGCGAACAAACTGCATCCTGCTATAGCCAAATATTTAAAATTGTGACTCATCAGTCCAGAGCACATGTGGCCATTTTGTCTGTGGCCTTGCGGCCAAAAAGCTGTACCTCCGACATGGAAACAAGGCTAAGTGACTCAACTGTGCGCAAAAACATAGGAACTGGGGTGCAGAAAAATATATATCTATATATCTGTAAAACTACGCAGGAGCGACTGGAACATTTGGTTGTGTAAAGCCTGAGCAGCAGAAACAAGGACCTGAAACACTAGTACACTACGTAGAAGCCCAAATATGATGGTAGCCACGGTTAAACCTGGAAACGCAAAAAAATGTGTCACAAACTCCAAAACATTAGGGGAGCAATAGGGCTGCAATATGTGGAATGATACACATTTATTTAAAAAGTACGCTGAGATTGTTCTCACATATAAATTATTTGTCTTGTTTATTTCTTACTAGACACGTTTACATTATATCAAAGTGCTGTATGCTTACACACCCTAGGTCCTTGTCATTCAACTTTGTAAAGCCTCCTACAAGGAAGCAATATTATACAAAACTGTTTGTTATTCTACTTATATATACTTCTAAATATGTATGAACGGGGAAGGGAGGTTTACAAAGTAAACAGTCTATAACAGTACCGAGTGTATAAATTTATGGTAGGTCCCCTGTTTTAATTAGTCCCCTGTTTTTTCTGACGAAGCCCCGGTGGGGGTGAAACGCGTTATAGGCGTTAGGCTTGGTGCCTTTGCAAGACATATCTCGGCTATGGCCGCCTCTGCCTGAAATACCTCCACGGATATATTATATGATACACCAAAGAACTGCCAGGAGAGAAGCAACCTCTATAAAATTCCTTTTAATGCACAGTCGTTGGAATCAGGAATCCACAACTGAGGAGATTAAGCACATATCATCAGACTTTCCACCCCAGCATTGGGCTTTTATCCTGTTTAGGATGTGGACACTACACAACCAAAGACGAGGGTCCAGTTAAGGCTAACCGTATGCACGGTGAACATTTGAAAAGCCGAGATAAAGATAACTTTCTCCTGAACCCATTTTGTCTATAGCCCGGATCGCTGTGCAAGCGAAAACTCCTCTCTGGACGTACACTTTTCTCTGAGAAAGAGATAAACACCACCGTGAGTGCTATTTAAGATCTCCTCAATATAACATGAATGTTTTTTGAACTTTCTTTTGGAACTTTTTCTTCTCTTTTTCTCTTTTTTCATACACATGTATGTTAACCCATTCCTGTGCTGGAGGATTCAATCTCTTGATTTTTTGAGAAAATCTCTATCCACCCCTCACATTTTTGTAAATAATGTATTATATAATTTCATGTGACGACACTGAATAAATGACACTTTGCTACAATGTAAAGTAGTGAGTGACCAGCTTGTATATCAGTGTACATTTGCTGTCCCCTCAAAATAACTCAACACACAGCCATTAATGTCTACACTGCTGGCAACAAAGGTCCAAATTGGGCCCAAAGTGTCAATATTTTGTGTAGCCACTATTATTTTCCAGCACTGCCTTAACCCTCTTGTGCATGGAGTTCACCAGAGCTTCACAGGTTGCCACTGCAGTCCTCTTCCACTCCTCCATGACGACATCACGGAGCTGGTGGATGTTAGAGACCTCCACCTTCAAACCATCAAACGGAAGGCTCCTCCACCTTCCGTTTGATGCCCCACACATGCTCAATAGGGTTTAGGTCTGGAGACATGCTTGGCCAGTCCATCACCTTTACCCTCAACTTCTTTAGCAAGGCAGTGGTGGACTTGGAGGTGTGTTTGGGGTCATTATCATGTTGGAATACTGCCCTGCAGCCCAGTCTTCGAAGGGAGGGGATCATGCTGTGCTTCAGTATGTCACAGTACATGTTGGCATTCATGGAACCCTCAATGAAAAGTAGCTCCCCAGTACCGGCAGCACTCATGCAGCCCCAGACCATGACACTCCCACCACCCTGTTTGACTGTAGGCAAGACACACTGACTCTAGGCAAGACAGTACTGACATGCTGACCCTCCACCCCTTCAACCTCTGCAGCAATGCCGGCAGCACTCATACGTCTATTTCCCAAAGACAACCTCTGGATATGACGCTGAGCACGTGCACTCAACTTCTTTGGTTGACCATGGCGAGGCCTGTTCTGAGTGGAACATGTCCTGTTAAACAGCTGTATGGTCTTGGCCACCGTGCTGCAGCTCAATTTCAGGGTCTTGGAAATCTTCTTATAGCCTAGGCCATCTTTATGTAGAGAAACAATTCTTTTTTTCAGATCCGCAGAGAGTTCTTTGCCATGAGGTGCCATGTTGAACTTCCAGTGACCAGTATGAGAGAGTGAGAGCGATAACACCAAATTTAACACACACGCTCCCCATTCACACCTGAGACCTTGTAACACTAACGAGTCACATGACACCCGGGAGGGAAAATGGCTAATTGGGCCCAATTTGGACATTTTCACTTAGGGGTGTACTCACTTTTGTTGCCAGCGGTTTAGACATTAATGGCTGTGTCTTGAGTTATTTTGAGGGGACAGCACATGTACACTGATATACAAGCTGGTCACTCACTTCTTTACATTGTAGCAAAGTGTCATTTCTTCTGTGTCGTCACATGAAATGATATAATAAAATAGTTACAAAAATGTGAGGGGTGTACTCACTTCTGTGAGATACTGTATATACCATTCAATAAACTATTCAAAAAGAGGTCATAAAAGTAGCAAGCATATTACCTGCATAGACTCCCAGATACAAGTTGTTATCTAACTTCTTGGTTTCTGTTACGTTAGCGCCATCAGTGATATTCAACTTCTCCTGTTCTGATGCCCTAACACATAAAAAACATCATGTCAGCATAACTCTTATTGGATATGTGTCGTCACTATTAGTGCTCACCACGTAGCAGGGAGGCTAAAGTGCTGTCAATTCTATGTTCAGCCACCCTACCCACTGTATCTGCACATGCACCATGCCAGAGTAAGTGACACACATCCTCTCCAGAACTTTAAAAGAAAGTTCACTATTAGAAAGGAAGTGCATTTGCAAATTCCTCACAGTGGCATATACAGAGGAAAGGAAAGAGTACAACTGTCACTATTATCCCTTTAAAGTAAACCTGTGGCCAGGATATGAATATTTAAGTATTTACATATTTTAACAAGAAGTAAATGATTTTAAACTAAGCCCTAACTGACCTCTGTGGCTGCAGGCACTGTGGAGCAATTCCTCAAAGTTCTTGCAGAACCATTAAAGTCATCTAAATCTGCAGCTCAGCTCACTATGGCTACAGTTCACCTTCTCTGTGTTTACTTTAGAGGTTAGAAGGCTGGAAGGCTGCACCCTATCAGATGAAGTCACTATTTGGGTATTCAGGGCAGCCACAAGTGCTGCAGCTGCCTGAATACAATAGCTAACAGTCGAGTTTCCTTAACTGCCAGCTGTTAGCATGGATAGGGAAATGGATGGATTGTCCGTGGCTAAATAGAAGAAAATTGAGCCGTGTATGACGTCATTAACTCTTGCTTTGGATCTTCAAATAATTGAAGTGATGAAAACTTTATTCTATAGCATTATTTATGTTGCTTTTTACATCTTCATTAGGAAGATTTTGCATTGCTTCCTGTTCTGGTGACACCTCTTGTGTAAGTTGTCACTAGCACAAGAAATGAGGGGATATGTCCAGTAAACGAATACCCAATAAAAGACGGAGAAAAAAAAGCGGTAGATAGATTTGGGCTTTAGTCTACCACATATTCTTTAATCAAAGTGTTTATCTGTATTGTTTTTAGATGGAATTCTTACCAATAAGACAGCCACCAGTCTTGCAAAACATAGGCAACCTGTGTAAACAAAATAAGTAAAGTTAGATACAAATGTATACAGTTTTCATAAATACATAAAGAAATGTCTCAGTAATTCTACTGTCAATCTATATACTAAACTAAGCCTTTTTTTTTTTTACCAAGTGACAGTGGGCATCATTTTTCGAGTTGTCTAAAGAAAAGCCTTTTTAGAAAAAAACACCCATCAAAATATCAGATTTTTTTTCCCATTCTATTATGCTGTGTCATGAAAATGAGGGTGAACCTTACCATCTGCTATAAAGAAACACAGAATTAATTATTCTATCAGAAACTTGAATATAGACAAGATAAGGACAGTACTGCAAGATCATGCTTTGAGGGTCCCCTGCATTAACAGTCTTAAAAATTCCACAAGCAGTAAGGGATCCGTATTAGTGATTTTTAGTTGAGCAGTACCACTACCAAGAAACTAAGAGTGCACCAATGCTTCAGCAAAGTATGAAAGACACATCAATCAGAATGACAATGTAGAAAAAATACAATTCAATTGCTATGGATGACTTCATTTTGGACGGTTTGTATACAGTTATAGCCTTGGAGCAGTGTTTCTACATCTTTGTTTGACACATCTTTGACGCACATATGTGTTTCAGCATTACAAGTCCCACATCCCAGAACCCCTATAACCAACAACTATTGAATAAGGATGTAGAACACAGTATCAGGAAGTGAAGCAATAAGAGTGCAAATCCTAAGAGTGTGAGCCACGGTGTTTTAGGAAGTGGTGGAGTGAAAGTGGCAGAAGGCTAGGGAAGGACGTGCACGGAGCAGTGGTGAAGGAAGTGGTGGAGTGAAAGTGGCAGAAGGCTAGAGAAGGACGTGCACGGAGCAGTGGTGAAGGAGCTCCTTCACCACTGCTCCGTGCACGTCCTTCCCTAGCCTTCTGCCACTTTCACTCCACCACTTCCTAAAACACCGCGGCTAAGATCAGAGGCAGCCTCTCCACTAGCCCTCCGGCACACACAGCATTCAGTCTAAATCTGTTCTTCACTTTATTCTTTTACTCCCGGGTTCACCTTCATACCTGATGGCATCAATTCCAGCCATCACAGCCAAACCCTAGGACCTGTTTTGCCTTGCCTCCAAGCGCTCATCTGGAGACTACCACACAACACGTCTCGCATCACCAGAACCTCATTGGGGCCCCCCTTGCCAGGATCCTTGGCACCCCAAGTAAGTCCCCATTTTTTGTTCATTTTTTTCCACCTGTATCCCATAGACACTGATTGTCCCTACACCACTCACACTCTTAGGATTTGCGCTCTTATTGCTTCACTTCCATGTTCACTGGTTTCTCCCCCTGTTCCTAGAGCAGCAATCCTCATTGACCGCATCCACACGTACCCCACACCCCTAAGAGAGCGCTGTGTCTTTTTTCTTCTTGTTAGAACACAGTATCACTTGATTACACGATCTCAAACATTCTCCTGTCTGCTGGTGAAACTAGTGAATAGCTACATTACTGAAAGTATATTGCAGAGAAAAACCTGCAATGTTGTGCAAAGCACAGCAGTAAAGACGAAACGGAATTACTAAACAGAGACAACATAGCTGTAAAGAGGAAGGACAGTATTGTGCACAGATCGCATAGCCATTACAAAGAAAGGGCAGTATTGCAGAAAAATGGCCTTGAATAGAAAAGGGCAGTTTCTGAAGGGATAAAAAAAACTATAAAAAGGGAAAGTTGCAGAAGAGCAGAACTGCGTAGGGAAGACTGAAATATTGTGCAGAACATTAAAACAAACTTATCAAGAGAGAAACAAATGGGCTGCATTTAATCTTGACATACATACCTGTGCTAGAATGTTTAGAAATAAAAGAATAAAAATCATCAGATAACTGGACCCAGCCAGGAAGTATTTCTTGTACACCTTGAAGCCAACAGTTCCCTCTGATCGGCTTTCCTCCGGGATTGCAGTCAGCACAGGTTCAGTCTGTTATTAAGGATGCAGAAAATTAAATAAGAGCCAATTGCTATGGGCAACCTGTCTACCTGTGTTACCCTATTGTTCTACTTGTACTTTAAATATATATACATATACGTACACACCCACACAAGCAACAGTGTGCCCATTCCAGGGTGACGGGGCAGTATGTACAGGAGAAATGTGTGCAAGGTATGATGGGGGCAGTATTTGCAAGAGAGAAGTGCAAGAAGGAATCATGGGGCCACTGTCTGATGAGATATCAAAGGTCTTTTAGGCCCCTGATTTTTCCTATGTGCGGATCAGTTACAGATCAGGGACAGATAGCTCCCGATTTGAAATTACTTGTTACTTCCCAGCTTTACTTGACCCGAAGGCAAAACTCAGAAGGGCTCAGCATTGAGCAAACTACCATCTCTGCCCTGCACATTACATCCGCAGAGTGGCTGTTCTGTGTAAGTGCTGGGCAGTCCATGTGGTGAGCCAGAAGATGCAGGATAGGGGTGGAGGGATGTGGGATGGTGGGTTATGTGAGCAGGAGTGTGTGGGCAAACTGAAGAGAGTTGTGGTGGTGGGGGACAAGGAAAGGAGGCATTTGTGGATGTGCAGGTGAAACTCGAATAATTAGAATATCGTGCAAAAGTTCATTTATTTCACTAATGCAACTTAAAAGGTGAAACTAATATATGATATAGACTCATTACATGCAAAGCAAGATAGTTTAAGCCGTGATTTGTCATAATTGTGATGAATATGGCTTACAGCTCATAAAAGTACCATTTCAAGGCTCAGGAACCCTTTGCAGGTGTTATGGCTTAATTAGCTGATTAGAGTGGGACACTTTGAGCCTAGAATATTGCACCTTTTCACAATATTCTAATTTTCTGAGATTGTGGATTTGGGGTTTTCATGAGCTGTAAGCCATAATCATCACAATTATGACAAATCACGGCTTGAACTATCTTGCTTTGCATGTAATGAGTCTATCTCATATATTAGTTTCACCTTTTAAGTTGCATTAGTGAAATAAATGAACTTTTGCACGATATTCTAATTATTCGAGTTTCACCTGTATGTGTTGCAGAGGGGAGTGAATGCTAGAAAAGTGTACTGTTTTAAGTTGGCTATACACTATTAGAGTTTTGGACAAAATATCAATTTTCTGAATATTTGTTGGATTTTTTAACAAATAGGTAATGGGGTCAAATCATAGTGATGAAAAAAAATTGAAGGCGCAGGATGGACATTTTTTCTCGAAGGAACAACATTCTAATAGGGTTTTGGTTATGGTTTTGGTTTGAGAAACTCCATTCATTCCAAAATTGAATTGTTAAACGACATTCCACAAGTGTCTGATGGCATTATTGATGTTCTGATGAGATTTTACGCATGAAAGTTTGTTTGGAAATTTACCAGTGTATACCCAGCTTTACCAGAATAATAATTTGGAATAGAGGGAAGAGGTGGGGAGCATGAGATAGGAAGGAGGAGAGATCACTACTGGAGGCAGAATTTCCCAGTAAATAAAATGAAACTCAGAATTAGGCATTACCCTGAATGGAAAGTGAATTAAGCTGTGAAAAGGAAACTATAACTTAGCTTTCATATTATTATTAAGTCAGGATATGAAGATATACCCATTGTATATTTTAGTAAACTGCATATACTAAATATATATCAGGTACACGCAGCCAGGCCCAAAACTGAGCCAATATTTTAGTAATATAGAATAATAAATTATTCAGGCACAATGATAACATCACTTTGAAATGGATTTATTGGCTGTGTATGGGCTCCTCTCACACTGCTATTACTATGTAAGGACAACAAGTTGGCAGTAATGTCAATGTTTTCCCTGTACGTTGAGCTTCCTGGACTTACAGGCAAAGTGTCTGCTGTTCCCTCTTTCTGTGACTGTGCAGAGGATTCCTGAGACCACACCGAAGATTGAGAGAAAGTACGATTTCGGGAGTGCTTTACCAGTTGTCCCTCTGCATTTTGAGACTGCTCTTCTTCATCACTTTTCAGGAGGGATGCAAAATCAACACCTGACTGCAGCAGCTCTGAAAATGTTCCCTTTCCTACCATTTGGCCCTTGAATACAAGAAAGATTTTTTTTACATTTTAGTAACTTGTTATGTAGAAAACAAACATTAGAAGTTTTGGCCTATATTGACGCAAAGGACACAGATAAATTGCGGTAATTTTCATCTTGCACTGTCAGCACCTGGCTACCCCCCTAGATGAATCCCTGTACTTGCTACCCTCTAAATCTTCTGAATGACGATGTACCTGCATGTATGGCAGAACAATCCTTCCTTGTGCACTGCCCTCTCTGAGCCCTGTACAACCACACTTAAAATGTCATAATTAAAAGTAGGTTGCAGGTCCCACGCTCTACTAGCAGTGTGAAAAAGGTTATTTTATGAATGGCAAAACTGATTGGAGTTACTTACTTCAGTACAGCTATGTGGCATAATTTACAAAAGCAGCTGAGAGACTCGCTGAGGCTGATTTACTAAAGTAGTTAAGAATCTTTACTCAATAAATTGAGTGAATATTCACTTCAATTATCGAGTCAGGTGAACGTTAAAATTCTGTTTACTTATTGTACCTGCACATGATTGGGTATTCAAAAGTAAAAAGGAATTTACTTTTCACCTGATTGGATAAATTAAGTGAATATTTACTAAATTTATTGAGTGAAGATTCTCAACTCCTTCAGTAAATCAGCCCCATTATATTTCTTGGAGATGTTCTGTAAACATGCGTAGATGTGTTTACACAGCAGCTTGTAATATTACCTCTTATTAGGCAAAAGGGACATGAAGTGGGGGGCCATGTGCGAGCAACATGGGCTCATCCTATGACTAGCTTATACAAAATTACAATATAAGCAATGGATGGACTAATGGGCAATTATCAATTTCACATGACTGAACTGAAAGTGAATGCATCACCACCTCAGTTTTTAATGCATCACAAGAACACTAGTAGCTGATAAAACCCAGTTGTCAGAAACAGTAATGTCCAAAGGTCATTCTGGTTCAAGAAAAACCTTGTGATGCCTTAAAAACCAGAGGGGGAGGCATTCACTTACATACCTGCAGGATACCCAGAACTTAACCTTTTGAAAGAATTCTCAGGGATCTCCGACTAGAGTCTAGCTACTTTTATTCTGCTGCATTAATCAAAATATACGAAGTTCCTCTGCTTGGAGTATTTGAACCCAATGAAATTCTTGTAAAATGTCAGAACAGCATACCTCTTTAAGGATGAGAATTTGTTTGGCGGCACTTAGGTACTGAAGCTGGTGGGTCACCAAGATGCACAGCTTCTTACGCAGAGCCTGGCAGATGCACCTTCAAAGCAGGAGACAAGAATTGAGATGGCTTAAAAGCATGCAATAAAAATTCTAAGCTGACAAAATCAAACTGAAGGAACTTTCAGAATATATATATTTATATATAATCATTACCAGTCTTTGTTCCCCAAGGTTTTAATTAAAAAAATTCAAGAAATGTAGGCAATCAAACTCATAGTACTTTTATAAAGATTCCAATTAATTACAAACAAATTCTAGTTCTGCTGCATCCCCAGGAGGCAATTTCTTTGCTACATGTCAAATGAAACAAATGTTCAACCCTGGATCTAGATGAACAGGAAACTGATCATTACTAGCAGTGAAAAAAGACTTAAAGTGACATTAAACCCTCAGATTTTTTAACATAAAACAATACTGTAATGTGTGCCTTACTGTAATCCATGGTTGTTTCCCTTCTCTTTGATGCTCTTCCTTTTAAATCTGTATCTGTTCGCATGCTTGGAGAGAACTTCCCTTTTCAGCTCAGGGCCTTTTCCTGTAGTGCTGGCTCAGGTTACAGCCTATACAAACGGATACACAGACACCGTGTCTGACAAGGCAGTCTGCTGAAAAGGGAAGTTCTCTCCAAGCATGAGAACAGATACAGTTTTAAAAGGAAGAGCATCAAAGAGAAGGGAAACAACCATGGATTACAGTAAGGCACATATTACAGTATTGTTTTATGTTAAAAAATCTGAGGGTTTAATGTCACTTTAAATATCAATACAATAATCACAGCATTTGTATATTGTAAATAATCACATTTCAGTAACCTGTTCTACAAATACCTGTGAAACATTTTCCAACAACTGGGTTTTTTATAATATTGAGATAGACCAACAATTCTGGAAAAAAAATCCCTTTGTACGTCGTCAGTCACGAAGGGGTTAAAGGAGAAGTATTGGGAGAGTAAAATATACTCTTCCCAATACTTTAAGCCAGCCTGTGACACTGAAGCTGTCACATGCCAGCTCTATAGACCGAGAACTGAGCAATCACAAACTGGTGATCGCTCAGCTCATGGTCTCTTCTTCCAGCATAGAGCGGTGGCTGTCAGTCACCGGTCCATGCAGGGAACTCACTCAACTCTGCCTCCAGCGCTCATTGAAGGGACAAAGGGAGAGGGGACAGGCACAGATGGCTCTGTCAGCAGCCCACTGTAAATGTACTCTTGTGACCCAAAAGAGAAGGAAAGGCAAAAAAAGGTTTGGCATACAGAGACACTATAGAAATTACATGTATAGGAGAGGAGGGGGTGAAAAGATTTAGAAAAAAAAATGGCAGCTGCTGCCATGATTTCTACAGCAATCGGACCCAATTAATGAGTCATTCCTTGTATAGCTCCTATTTCTGCCCCTTCCTCCATTAAAAGTGGGAGGGTTCAAAGATGTAAACATTACACCATTTACATATGCGATCCCCATGATTGGTCACAGACATTCCAATCACAGTGATCCCAAGGTACAGAGTTGTTTGGCTCGACAATTCAGTTACGAATGGGTGCAATGGCACCCAACGGCATTTTATCCAGTGCGGTTTATGAATGGCACTGGGTAAATAACAGTACACAACTTTGCTGTTTTTAGACATAAAGGCATAAATGTTTACTTTTCAATCTGCAATACATCACTGCAATGCATGCATGTTTGCCTTTGTTTTGTCTATTTAACAGCACAGCAAGTACAGAGAGATGCATATTCATTTTGCCAGAAATTACTTCCTTTCTGTAGGTGCTATTTTAGCTGACAACAAGTTGCCTCTGCTGCACTGAACTTTTAGGCCTCATTCACATGGAGCATGTCGCTCTGTTCATCGTGAAGGGCTGTTTTTTATGTTTTAAAATACAGCTTAAGAAAGAAGCGTGGGGGCAGCTCATGTAATTCTATGAAGACGCGCTCACACACTGTTTACCGCAGCACCAAGATTTGACAGCCGCACACAGACAGCGTACAGACCTGAAATCTATTGAATATTCAAATCTCTCTCAAATCAAAAGAAACATATAGAAAGAAAAACCGACCAGATAATACATAGCATATTGAGTAATTATATCTCTCTGGAATCTCCCTTCCAGCCTCTCTATCCCTCCGATTATTAATAGAACTAGTGGCGTTTCTAGAGGATTCGGCTAAACATCTTTATTATAAAATTCCTCTACCATATTTCCAGTTAGCTATATCCTCTCAATCATTTCCATAGTATTTACCCTCTTTATTCTTGATATGAGAGATACCTCTAGTCCCAAGATACGTATGTAGGTTTATAAAGGTTTAAGACACCAAGACAAAAAAAAAACCTACCAGTGAGAAGAGAGTTAGGTCTCTACAAATATAGAGAGCTTATGGGGAATCACACAGTAGTTAGCCACACTCATTATTCAATTCACACATAACTGCTAATTTGAGGCAAGTTCAAAAATTCCATCTTTTTTTTTATTCTGTCCATACAATCAGGGGATCCGTGTGTCACCTATCTTGCTGTGAAATGACAAATTCTTTAGCTGTGTATCTAGCGGTTTGCCTGCAATTTTACTTTAATGTTGGTCATTTTGAGAGTAGTCCAACACGTGAATCTCTTATTGTATTGAACAAATGCCTTGCTAATTTATTTATAGATAGCATTGGAAAATAGTTTAATTCCAGATGCAATTGCCACCTTCCCCAAAAACAATATCATTATCTACATGTATCAGTTTAAATGTCTGTATTGGAATGTGGAGTTGACTCACTGTGATTTGAGCAAAAAATCTATTTTAAAAAAAAAGGATTTCGGCTGAGGTTTTACAACTATATGAAGCTCGGCAGGCATAACACACAATCATCGTTAATAATGGAGCCTATTAATCATAGATGCGAAGGACACCAAATTTCTATAGTTAATATAAACGTCATGGACAACTGTGTGGATACAAGTCCAAGGCCAGAATTCCCCTTCACACACACACACACACAGCCCACATCAGGGCCACACACTCATTCTTTTAATAAAAACTTGTCGCTAAGAAGGACGGGTGTTTTAATTCCATTGTGTGGATGTTTTAAAGCAATGCTACTGAAAAAATTCAGGAAGAATACACTTCCATTGTGTAGCACACAACTGAAAATAGAGGAATGTTCTGTTTCAAGAGGACTCTTGACAGATCGCAGATAGGGAACATTTTCAATCGTCTCTCTCGTCTTACATTCTGATTCGATAAATAAATAAAAAAGACTGGGATAACAAGCTGCCATGCCTTAATTTAAGCGCTTTGTTTGACACATTTCATGTGCAAATTCTTACAGTATTGCTGAACTGATAAATGTTTTATGTCCCAGGGCCTCGGCAGCTAACAAATGCGATCTGTATAGTGAATATGTTTCACGGCATAATCATGGCATTGAGCATCGGTTCACTTTGTGGGAATATGAGAGGGAAACGAATCATCAAAGTAACTCTCTGTGCATTGTCATACACTTCAGAAATCTTCTGTCTGTGTCAAGAAAACAAATGTCTGAATTTATTTAGATAACGCTGCTGTTTAGAGGAGAAAACAAAACATCAAAGACGGCAACAGAAATCGTGACCAGAGGGAAATACAAAGTTTGAGAAATAAACAGATGAGAGGATTCGAGCACACTGCACATAAAAAATTACAGATATGCGGCCAAGAAAACAATATTTGTACACACAAACACACTTATTCTGGTAATGTATCTGCAGCACCTTAGTGACAACATTGAGAATCTTGTCTCGTATGCCATATATGTGTATATCAAATGAAACCTGTATTAAAGACAAATATCACCCTTTGCAACAAAAATAATAAATTCACACATCTTTATAAAAGAAAAAGATGTGCATTTATAATTTTTTTTGCATAGTAGACAGTAAAGCATTCCAACCGGAATCAGTAGATCATGGGTGCAATGCTCTAGCTTCTGCAGACTGTTCCTGCCATCCATGTCTGTACAAGGTACAGACATGCAGTAACATGGATGGGAGGAAGTTTCAATGGTGGGGATACATCGAAATTTCTGCGGAAAATGGTACTATGGGTAACCATAACATCCAAAAATGGGGCCGAAATCTCAGTGCATTCCTAGCTTCTCTCCTCCCTGCTGGACACCAGTCTGTGTCCCCTCTTATGCCCGCTGCTCTCCCCGCCTGTGTCAGCAGAGGCAGCGGGGATCAGAAGGGACACAGAGGATCCAGCTGGAGGCGCCCAGTGGGGAGGAGAAAATCTTTCAGGAGGCCAATTGGGGTGGAGCGGGGAGGAGACAGCTCTCGGGATGCCGAGCAGGGTTCGTGTGGGAAAGAGAGACTTGTCAGCTATCACAGGAGGCCAAGCTCTCCTCCCGCACAACCCTGCTCGGCCTCCTGTGACAGGCAAGTCAGGTTGGAAAACGGGTTACAAGCACTCAGTGATTAGAACTGATTGTTGAGTGTTTGTAAAAAACTGAGGACATAGTAAGCTTACCGTGTCCCTAGTTATGAATGAACAGCAAGTCCTCTACATCACTTCCTGTTCATTCATGAGTGTAGACATAGTAACTCATACTATTTCCACAGTTTATGAATGAACAGGAGCACTCAGTTTAGATAATTCCTGTTCATTCATAACAGGGGCTGCAGATAAAGATATTTAGAACACTGTGTTCTCAATCTCTTTTTCTATTTTAAAAGGGAAATATCATGGGGTAGGTTTAGACCCCTGATATTTCCCCAAAGCCCCTAACAGTAAAGTAACATAAAAAAAAAAAAAAACAATTTAAAAAAAAATGTTGACAATGTTAAAAAGGTTAGGTGAAAAAAGTGTGTCACTACATTTGTGAAACTACAAATCCCTCTGCTGTGGTGGCTAATGGAACTTGTAGTTTCTAAATTCACAGATCCTGTGAATGGATCTGTAAATGAATGCCATGCATGTGGGAGGAGCCAGGAACAGCCATGATGAATTCAAACAGCAACAGCCTGCAGGGAGATGTTGCGATTCAGGTGGGGGTTCAGGTGGGGGTGAAGCCTCATCCAGTGGCTTCATGACTGTCTGAATCCCGGACCCATAACAAGCATGAAGCTCAGGGTTTCTGATGTCCCCCTGGCTTTACTTTCCGTGTGATGGTTACAGGTCAGTTACAGGAAATACTGAAGCCAGTGGTAAATGGGCAACTAGCTTTATATAAAAAGAAATCAGGCCAGGGAGTCAAAAAAAAAAAAAGGAAGCCAGAGCAACTAACAACTAAACAATTAGCAATCCTAGAAGGAAAGGTCAGCAATGGCAGCCCCTATATTTCTCTCAGGTACCGCACAGGTATCCTTTAAGCTGGAAGAAAATATAAAAACACACATACTGTAGGTTTAAATGTGCATGAGCTGTTACTTCCTACACATATGGACTTATTTGATAAAGCAATGCAATGAGTTGCAATGACAATGTTTGGTAAACCCAGCAGCAACCCAGCAGAATTTTGTTTTCTGAACAGATCAGAAAGGAATTTAGAACAGTTGCCACGGCTGCTTACTACATCTAGCTTAATGTTCTCTGTCTAAGTAAGCCAGAGAGTACCTTCAGGACCCTAATAAAAATATTGATCTTTCTTTAAAACTGAATTCAGAGCCCAAGCTTTCACTGTTTACATTACAGAGAATAAATAGCAGAGGGAGATTTATCAAATTAGAATTTACATTATTTACAAAGGAGCATATGGTAAAAATTGTCTGACTTCCCCACTGAAATACAGCTAGCCCTGGAAAGGCAATTGTCTAGCACAGAAAGACTGCCAGGAGTGGCATGAACTGGCATATCCACAGATCCAACAGTTTAATTTTTATACTTAAAAAATAAATGTGAAGATTAAGGTTTTTTTTCAAGTTTTCATCTACTGTCCAGCAATGCAGTCTATGTGTGCTTACAGTGCCAAACTAACACTAAATACATACAATAGTAAAAATGTTTGTGTGCATGCATGCGTGCGTGCATGTATGTGCCCCAAGTTCATTTATCTATGAGCTCATTTGTTAACCACTCTCTGCTTGTGAACGTTTTACTAAGGCAAACGTACCTAGCGCTAGCATGAAAGGAGATTTGTCAAAATTGTCATCTTGTGCTAGCTGTACCATGTATTGTTTAACAAAACAATATAAATGATAGAATACACAGAATTATCAGCATGCTTTCTAACCAAGTATTATAGACCCTGTCACTACTAAAGCTCCAGAACTAGGTAGGAAGGTGTCTCCTTGTTCCACCATTAACTCTAAAGCAGATTCTTCTTTTACTGTAGACTTTCTTCTTCTTCTTTCACCATTCTGCCTGCATTGTTCCCATGTATGCACAAAAAGACAGCACTAAACATGCCAATGTCTATGAAGCAAAGTTCATACAGATGTGATAACTTTCCCTGATTAAACCAATAGGGGTATCCGTTCCGGGGGAGCTATATTATATATATATACATATATACAGGGCTTGAAAAATTTGACGGTGTCTTACCAGTCAGTCAAACATTTCACCAGTCAGCATGACCGGACTATAGCCCTGCAATTTATGTTAAAATCTTTTGGGGACAGGTAGAGCTTTCTTTTGCGCCCCCAAGGGGGGGTTATTTTATTTTTTACTATATAATGAAAAAAGTACCATAAATGTAAAAAAAAAAAAGTTTCCCTACGTTATGTCATAAAACATTTATTCTTACCCATTTTTTTAGTAAAACATAAAAGTCAGGGTCACGTCGGGTAAATAGACACCAAACATGTCAAGCCTTAAAATTGCGTGCGCCCGTAAAATCGCAAAAAAAGCCCATAGGCAACGGTTAAAATGCTTTTACTGCTCATCAGTTTAGTGTTATCAGTGATTAATGTCTCTAAAATTATTGCTCTCACTTCGACGTTTGCGGCGATATGTAACATGTGCGGCACAATCGTCGTTTTCGCACGTAGGCGCACCCGACGCATATCTGCGTGTGTATGTGGGAGCGGGGACTTAAAAAAAATGTTTTCTTTTTAAAAAAATGTTTATGCTTTATTTTTATGATTTAACAAATGTAACTTATTTTTTCAACTATATAGTTTGGATGTTAATCATTATGCAAATCACAAGACATAAGTCAAAAGCAAAATAGTATACATACTTGTCAAACAAATGCCTCCCAACCTCAGCATCGACAGCACTCAGGGGATCATCCAACAGATAAATGTCAGCATCTTGATAGACTGCCCTGTACAACAAGAATAAATTCATAAATGCATATATAATATAAAGCCAAGCTGCTCAAGAGGGCAATCCTTAGATTGACCATTGCCCTATGTTTTTCAGTCAGCAAATTATCAACCTTCAGGCAGCATTTTTTATGTATAGGACAGAAATGTTCACTGGTAAAGCTGTATTTAGTAAAAAGACCCTAAAAAGGTATTAAGGAAGATCGTAATATAATTATTATTATTATTATTATTAATCAGCATTTATATAGCGCCAACAGTTTGCTTTACATACTATGTTGCCTACAATTACACCTCCCAGCCTAAAAGCCAGCAAGCCAGAAGTTCACCTTATTCCATCACAAAACAGATACGATTTAGAACCTTACAAGGTTAAGCAAAATGGGCATATCTCCTGTGCTCATTCCTGTAGGGAAAATGGAGAATGGTCCAAGGTGTTCATTCATGCCCCCATACATGGGGTCCCTTAAAACTGCCTTCACAGGTAATTATTTGGCAGGAAAGTTGTTGGTCGCTCATACACAGATTGTGATGATAAAACCTCTAAAACAAGTACTCTGCAATAAATATTTTAATATATATGCCCTTTAGCCTCCTTCTGGTACCCAAATATAGTTCTATCATCTGTGTAATTTTAGGCGTTATTTTAGACATATGATGACTTCGGCCTGAGTATGATCATTTGTTTAGCTTGGGTCATATTGCCCAAGTCTGGCAAATTTGGTCAAATGCGTGGGTGAAATCTGTATGGGCAGCTTTACTCATGTACAACTGTGAATTCAGCTCCGCCAAAGTCGTAAGAGTCTGCAATGAACAGTTGAACTAATTTTACACTGTTTTTCAGCTATATGTACTGCAGCTACACAAACATATTCATGTATACTAGCTTTAGTTAGAATGTGGTATTCTATCAATTTTACTGTCATTATGCAACCATTTTTAGAACTGAACCAAATGTGGTAAACGATCCCATAGCCAAAAGAACATCAGTAACATTCTGAACAACGATGAAGCACCACAAACATATTCATTTTACAATTGACAAAACACCACTTATGCTATATCATTACTATTATATCTACCTGGCTAGGTTAACACGTGCTTTCTGTCCTCCACTCAGTGTAACACCACGATCTCCAATCATAGTGAGGTCACCATCATCGAACTGCAGCAAGTCCTGTGAGGGTTAGAGCAACACAATAGCAACAATATTCTAACACAATCTCTGTTTTAGTATATTCATTTTGCATTGAGACAGGTAATCAAGCAAAGGCATTTTAGGTAAGCTTAATACACCTACTGTATATCTCAAGTCTTGAAGTATAACACATTTGTGAACAAAAAAAACATATTTATACACAAAAGTAAAATGTGTTGTAACTGTGAATACAGAAGATTCTTAAAATAAATGTAATTTTCTTCCACAGTATACATTATCTGCACCTTTCTATGGAAGTTTATCCAAACATGTTTTAATTGAGGTTGGCCATTCAGGCACCCAGCGCTGTCACCTGTTGGAGGGAAGAGAGAGATCTGAGGTTTAGGTCCTCAGGTCACAACTTGGAGCTTACACATGGTTCAGCTCTTCACTCCCAGTGGCTAAACAGAATGGAGGGGAAGCAAAAGGAAGGAAAGTATGTGCAGCCTGGGACAATGGCAGGTTAAGCAGAACTCGAGCCAAAACAATTTCTAGTTTTGGATAGAGCTGGTTAAGGTCAAAACCTCCTGGTGTTTTTTTTTTGTTTTTTTTACTGGTGGCCATGTCTATTACTGTCACTGACTCTCCAGTTGAACATTTTCACTGGGACAAAGTGTGGGGAAAAAAACTGTTTAGGAAATTTGTAGGCACCCTCTGGTCCCAAGGGGCCTTTGAGATGGTCCTGGTGAAAAAGTGTAGGCGGATTTGATTGAAGAAAGTTTCATTTGTACTCAACAGAAAAGGCCATGCTTGCACAGTTCAGTGTACCTTCTTGGTATACCTCAGCATCGGATTAAATGAACTCCCGTGCACGTATGCAGGAGTTATGTCATTCTGACCTAGCCAATCAAAATGACCATGTGCAGATCTTGGTGCCAGTGTGTAGAAGTGAGTGGGGGAATTGAGTTAGTTCCACTTTAAGTGAATCTGTTTCTTTGCCCTGCATGGTGGAAGCACAGGTATGCGTTGGGGTAATATGCGTTCGCACTGCATCACATCATAACACACTACTGTGTGTGGTGGTGTGCTGCATCAAAAAAAATAGTTCAGGTGAAATGCTGGTCCTTTGTCATGCGTTGGCAGCCTATTCACAATAATTGCAATGCACATCAACATGCTCATGCTTAACACCCTGCATCAGACCACAATGGTGTGCAGGGGTCTTTAGGTTTTTACAGCCTTACCTCTCAAGTGTTATGTGTGCTACTCCTGAAAGGAGTGCACATAGCGCTGGTTGACAAACTGTGATATATTACAGTACAGTTTCCGTTGTACAGGTAAAGTTCATGTCGGCCAACATTGCTATAACTGCATAGTCATAAGCAGCTCAGGTTTCCATGAAATGCTCTTGGCAATTCTGTTTATGATATCTTTGAATCACAACAGCTCTGCCTGTTTCCAAGAAAACTAAATCAAAGTCCTGATAAATGCCTGAAATACTATTCAGCACAAATCTGCAGCCAGACACCTTGTATAGATAAATACCCTTTTCAGTGCGCACGCCCTCAGGACTCTTTCATATTTCTCTTGAATGTATTCTTTTCCAAATAATATGTTACTTCTGACAGTGCCTGAAAACACCCAGGGCTGCTGGGAGACATAGGCAATTCTTCCTCTGACGTCCACAAAGCCTTTATCTTTTGGCAGTTCACCCAGAACTGCACTCAGAAGAGAAGACTGTGGGGGTGAAAGAGAAAAATAGGTTTGTGAATACAAACATTATTGTGTTTTAACGTTTTATCCAAATGCATCACATTTGAAATGAAATATAATACTGACACTTGATAGAACAAAAATATAACAAATAATATGTTTCCTCTTCTAGCAGTAGTAGGGTTCTATACCGTGTTAGACATTGATTAGTGTAGAAAGTTTGGGGTTTAAGTGATCCTCTTTCTTGGCAAACTTGAACTATTAGAGATTCAAGCTTTCAGGATTCTTTACAATACATAAAGACTGATGAAGGGATCTAAGGAATTCTGAAAGCTTGCTTCTTTAATAACTTAAAGGAGAACAAAGGTGAGTGAAAATCACTCATCCTCAAAGTTCGAGCCGACGTGTGACAATGAAACGGCTCAATAGATCGGGAAGTGAGCGAACACATATTGTCAGTCGCCGCTCCCCGCAGGGATTCCCCCCCTCTCCTCCAGCGCTGGAGGAACGGACGGGGGAAGGGGCGGGAACAGCTGGCTCTGCCTCTAGATAGGCAGAGCAAGCTGTTAAATCAGGCAGCTGGGTGGATCTAGACAATAGCTCGCTATATACTGAGCTTTGGGTCACGGGACTCCTCCCGTGACCATAAATAGAATTATGGGATATAAAGGTTACCCCATAGTTCTCTTTTAAGTTAGCCAAAAAAGGGTATCACTTAAATTCCAAACTTTCTGCACTTCCTCTTCATTGGAAACAAAAAAGTAAAAGACCCCAAGGTGCACAATAGTTTAATACAGAGGCTTTCATATTTGTTCAGTATTTTTATTTCAGAGTAACAAAACATGGATGAGGCCTTTTAGGTTATCAAAAACACCACTGATACACAAATATGTGTTATAACTACATCTTTTATTTATATAAAAATAAAAATGTAATTTACATAATAAAATGCATACATATTTTATTGGATTATGTAATTTCAGTTTTTATTTTACATAAATAAAGTTGTAGTTTTAACACATATTTGTGTAGTATCAATTGTGTTTCTTATACCTTAAAGGCCCTCATCCATGTTTTGTTATTATATATTTCCTCTCGGGTGTGGTATCATTTCAGCTCCATATTAATCCCCAAAACCTATGTACCGTATTTTGCACTCTATAAGGCGCACCGCACCATAGGACGCAGGGAAGGTAGGCTTCTGTGACAGCTGTAGTTAGTCACAGCTGAGATAGGTGGCGCTGTGTTTACAGCGCCACGGTCTCAGTGATCACACAGAGCAGACGAAGAACGGACGTTCTTCGTCTGCTCTAGGTGTTCTATGGTGAGCTCCAATGCCGTGGTCACGGGTCCCCCAGAGGAGCATGTCCACTGCATGTCCTGGGCATCGGGCGATAGGGATTCGCTCCATAAGACGAACACACATTTTTCCCCGCCTTTTGGGGGGGGAAAAGTGCATCTTATGAAGCGAAAAATACGGTATATAAAATTTTTATTTTAGAAAATTATGTTATGAAAAGTTTGTTGAAAAGAATGCATTAATTACATTTTTTTTACGTTACTGTGTATGGCTCCATTCTGCACTGTCAAGTGGTTAAAAAAAAGGCCTCTGCTAACAATAAATATACATTTATATCAAATTCTATTTCCTTAAAGTGAACTGTCCAAAAGCATTTACAGATTGTAGGCTGGGCCGGATTTCTCACAAGGCCAACCGAGGCCAGCAGGGAGTAGAGGGGCAGCAGGGGTTTGGAATTTCTATCTCCCAATGCCCGGGACATGCAGTTCCGGGCACCGGGCGGGTAGTTGTTTTCTACATTTAGCCCTGCTTTGGGCAAGCAGGGCTAAATGTACAGTGGGGAACCTGCCGCTTGTTTTGTACAAGTGATCTCGGCGATGTTGCCGAGATCACTTGTATACAGCCTGCATACAGGGGGGCGCATTGAGGAACCTGGCATTGGGGCAGCAGAGAGAGTAAATCCGGCCCTGATTGTAGGGTCCCCACGCATCTGTCAGTCAGGTGGAAGAATTACAAAATAGGCCTTATGTATGGTCTTCTCAATATGTAATAATCTAGCAGGTGGAAACCAGGGGGAAAAAAGTCCGCTTTCTTGGTACATTTTGAGCTTTTCTTATTTTACTCATTATATGTCGAGGTTTCAGTCAACACAATTTAAATGGGCACAAACCCATTATTTAGGATTTCAGGTCCTGAGCAAAAAATAGGTAAATGTGTAAACTGACTATATTTAGTCTTCATTTTACACTGATTTTCAGTTAAAAACAGAAATCATCTGTAAGTATAATTCAATTTTAAGCACTATAAATTCTATTAAGTCTTATGTATCTATAATTGCCATGAAACTGCTCTATTTCACAATGCATTAACTTGTGTTCTAACCGCTCATCATTTTACACAAATATGTGTTATAACTACATCTTTTATTTATATAAAAATAAAAATGTAATTTACATAATAAAATGCATACATATTTTATTGGATTATGTAATTTCAGTTTTTATTTTACATAAATAAAGTTGTAGTTTTAACACATATTTGTGTAGTATCAATTGTGTTTCTTATACCTTAAAGGCCCTCATCCATGTTTTGTTATTATATATTTCCTCTCGGGTGTGGTATCATTTCAGCTCCATATTAATCCCCAAAACCTATGTACCGTATTTTGCACTCTATAAGGCGCACCGCACCATAGGACGCAGGGAAGGTAGGCTTCTGTGACAGCTGTAGTTAGTCACAGCTGAGATAGGTGGCGCTGTGTTTACAGCGCCACGGTCTCAGTGATCACACAGAGCAGACGAAGAACGGACGTTCTTCGTCTGCTCTAGGTGTTCTATGGTGAGCTCCAATGCCGTGGTCACGGGTCCCCCAGAGGAGCATGTCCACTGCATGTCCTGGGCATCGGGCGATAGGGATTCGCTCCATAAGACGAACACACATTTTTCCCCGCCTTTTGGGGGGGGAAAAGTGCATCTTATGAAGCGAAAAATACGGTATATAAAATTTTTATTTTAGAAAATTATGTTATGAAAAGTTTGTTGAAAAGAATGCATTAATTACATTTTTTTTACGTTACTGTGTATGGCTCCATTCTGCACTGTCAAGTGGTTAAAAAAAAGGCCTCTGCTAACAATAAATATACATTTATATCAAATTCTATTTCCTTAAAGTGAACTGTCCAAAAGCATTTACAGATTGTAGGCTGGGCCGGATTTCTCACAAGGCCAACCGAGGCCAGCAGGGAGTAGAGGGGCAGCAGGGGTTTGGAATTTCTATCTCCCAATGCCCGGGACATGCAGTTCCGGGCACCGGGCGGGTAGTTGTTTTCTACATTTAGCCCTGCTTTGGGCAAGCAGGGCTAAATGTACAGTGGGGAACCTGCCGCTTGTTTTGTACAAGTGATCTCGGCGATGTTGCCGAGATCACTTGTATACAGCCTGCATACAGGGGGGCGCATTGAGGAACCTGGCATTGGGGCAGCAGAGAGAGTAAATCCGGCCCTGATTGTAGGGTCCCCACGCATCTGTCAGTCAGGTGGAAGAATTACAAAATAGGCCTTATGTATGGTCTTCTCAATATGTAATAATCTAGCAGGTGGAAACCAGGGGGAAAAAAGTCCGCTTTCTTGGTACATTTTGAGCTTTTCTTATTTTACTCATTATATGTCGAGGTTTCAGTCAACACAATTTAAATGGGCACAAACCCATTATTTAGGATTTCAGGTCCTGAGCAAAAAATAGGTAAATGTGTAAACTGACTATATTTAGTCTTCATTTTACACTGATTTTCAGTTAAAAACAGAAATCATCTGTAAGTATAATTCAATTTTAAGCACTATAAATTCTATTAAGTCTTATGTATCTATAATTGCCATGAAACTGCTCTATTTCACAATGCATTAACTTGTGTTCTAACCGCTCATCATTTCAGGCCATGTTAACGCATTATTTTCCCTTTCACAGGAAAACTTCAAACAGCCAGCGTCCCATAAGAAAAATACAATACATCGGGGTAAGGTAAACTAAGCGGACTATTGTGTCTTGACAAAGAAGTAACACCCCAAGCAGTTTTCTCTGGCATTTCATCACTCATTTGGAATGCATGGGGACAATCAATGTAAATACATGTTTTCTTTCACCATGAGCCCAATGACTGACTCTGAATGCAGCCTACAGAAAAAGTATCAGCACTTTCATTATGCTGGAAAATCACAGTTTGGAGGTTTGTAGAGCGTGAGAAGAGAAAGAGGGAGAGGAAAATGATACTCACTTTCCCTGCTCCAACAGGTCCGATTACAGCCAGTAATTCCCCAGGTCTCACACTGTATGAGATATTCTGAAGAGTTGGCACGTCCAAGGTCTGCAAATAAAGTAATGTTTGATATAATGCCACTGCAGCCAAGCAAAAACTATTGAAAGTTGTGCAACCTCTTACATTTTGAACTGACAGAAATGGCTAACACATTTTTAGACAACTATTATGAATATCAATTACATTTTGTATACTAGGATATATAATAATGCTTATCTGACAAATTGGACAGTTTCACAACTTATCCAATAGGATGAGACAGTGAAACCTGTTTTTTCCTTTCCAAGAGTGTGCTTTGTTGTAAAAGACGGAAGTCAAAAGGTAGCACATTTATCACATGTGCGAAGGAACAAAATCACTCAGGCTTGCAGAAGAAGTTATTGGTGTAGAGTAATCACAAGATCATCAGTCCTTTCTCCACATAAAATAGAACAACTTTTAACTATAAACTTGTTGCGTTCAAACACTGACTGATTAACTAAAGGAGTTGAACATTGTCAAACAATATCTGTGAATGTTTACTTCAATTATCTCCACACAATTAGTATTTCAAAGTGAACACCATTTTTCTTTTCACAAGATTTTTTCTGGTGATTATAAACTCGTTTAGCAAATCAGCCTTCTTGTCTGAATCAGGGAAAAAGTGTAAGTGAGTTTAATGGGTATGCAAGTGCTGCACGGACAGTTGCTAGTATTTGGAAAATCACTGGTCCTCAATAACTCCTATAAAGCCTCACTATGGCCCAATCTACTTTTATTGTTTTGGATAAAGTAAGGAAGATCTAAAAACCATAGGTTTCTATTGCTGACATTAACCTCTCGGGGGAGATTTTTTTTCACTTCCTTTGTAGTAACCAGGAAAAGAGGGGGAATCTCTTTTCAAAGGATATCACAATTAAAGGACCAGTTTGTATTTAAGTGGGAAGACGACAAATTTCTGTCTGGTTTTTAATGCTAAAATGACACAAATGGCCAGGACTGTATGTATGTGTGTGCCGGCTATTTTTGTCATTTTGGATATAAATGGTATCACCGCAGGTCATGTACCTTGTAGCTGCCATAGAAAGGAACAGGTGAGGGATTCATTTTTTCTTTGTTTATATTTCTGTTTATGTGCCTGTGATATTTTGTAGATATAAGCACATATGGTGAGCGCGCTTACTGATCACTCTCAATGACGACTGACATAAAAAGGACAGTAATTTATTTATCAAAGACCGACAACCCAGTGTACAAAAACATAAAGTCCACTTGTCTTTCAGCAAAATAACATTTTACAATGTCTCGCCGACTCCAGGTTGTCACACACAATCACGGTGCCCCAATCCCAGGACTCTAGCGTCTTTTCCAACAGAGCAACAAATCCACAGACGTGCTCACTACCATTTAGATACTCCAAGCGGCTTTCCACACCTCTCGTGTGACTCTAAAGCTGGCCATACACCTATAGATTTTCTGCAGATTTTTTATGATCAGATGTCAAAAGTGCAACAGATTCCTCCAACTACACTAAACTGTGTGGATGGAGGAATCTCCCACTGGGCCAAGCTTCAGTATCTTACTAGTCGGCCCCGCTGGCTCACAAAATACCTGAAAAATGCCTTCATCCAAATCAGATCGTTCAGGTATTTTGACAGCCAGCGAGGCTGACTAGCAAGATACTGAAGCTTGGCCAGTGGGAGAGTCCTCCATCCACACAGTTTAGCGTAGATGGAAGAATCTGTTGCACTTTTTCCATCTGACCGTAGAAAATCTGCAGAAAATGTATAGGTGTATGGCCAGCTTTACACACATCCCTCATGTGTCACTGGCTCTCTCCGCCTCCTCAGCTGTCTGCCGTGTGCCTTCAAAACACATGCAACCTGGCTTCACTCTGACTACTCGGTGAAGTCCTCCTGACTCCTGACCACTGACCACTGACCTTCCCTGTCTCCCAGGTGGAGCCCTGAACATTAGCCATCAACCTTTCCATAAAAGCTATGCACAGGTGCGCAATCATTGTGTGCTGGTCACAACTAAACCATTGACCCAGGAATGGAGGCTTCATCCCTCCAAATTCTCTTTGAAGTCTCCCGGTTCCATGATGGTGAGCAAAATCCTGAAAACCTGGAAATAACTGAAAAGTCAGGTCTTTCCCTATAAGAATACTTGCTTTCTGAAAATACTCAGCCTATCTGGCTGAGAGTCCTGGGTGACCATAATGGCATATTATACCGTGGTATTGACATGGTAGTGACTTTTGGGGTAATACCCCTCACTTCTTATGAGGTCACAGGAGAGGAACAGCAGGAACTTTCCCAAAAATAGACACATAACGGAAAGAAAAACCTGGCAGGAGTTCTACCCCATCCACAATCTACTCTAAAAAAAAAAAAAGACGTTGGCTGTGGTCGAGTTTTGAATGTCAATGCTTACATGGACTACAAAGCATGCAGCCAAATAAGGCTTGGTAATAGGTGACAATATAACTATGCCAAAGCTGAAGGCAAATATGTTAGCTATCACCTTGTCAAAAAATACACTAGAGGATAAGGAGGTGCTGCTGGCTTGAGAAAACAGCAATCATAAATGGCGATGGAAGACAAATATGGCTTTGAACTTGTAGTTAAACATAGGCTATGTTCCAGGGCATTCATATGAGATGGTTTGTCATAGTTCTGGCATCGGTTATTTACAAGCAGATCATTCACCAGATATAAAAGAAAACATGGTATGTATTTGTTCTTAAAAATCTGCCAAGCGCTACCAATCTGCCAAGTGAATAAAGTCACACATTCCTTCTCACTCACAAATGTTACCTTAAAAGTTGACAAATAGAAAATAATGATTCAGCAAAGTAGATATATGCATATACGCAAATATGCATAAATAATTCTGATGGCTTTGTTTTCCTACAGTTACTTTGAAAATGGAGAAAATGGCATGTGGCTCTTACCTTTATGTTTTAGGCAGATTTGTGCTTAAAACAGCATATGCCCCTGATATATTTAGTACTGTTTAAGGGAGAACTATGGGGTTAAGGCTTTTCCCCATAGTTCTCCCTAGGGTAACGGGAGGACACAAACTAGCGTCCTCCTGTCACCCTAGGCTCAGTATACCGCGAGCCGTAGCTCTCATTGTCACAGGTCGGCTAGAACTATGAGGTGAGTGAAAAGCACTCACCTCATCGTTCTCCTTTAAGAAAGAAATGCTGCTTATGAAAAGGGGAGCTTTTAGGCAAATGTTAAACTGAGTTAAAAGAGGACTGCCTTATACTCAACATAAAATGATCTCCTACATACAGTATACTTTGTCCTAGGCTACACTAAAAATGTATTCTCTGAAGTTCTGCTAATGTGAAAACAAGATTATAAAACATCAGTGATCAGTAAAAAATTATTGTGAGCCTTCCTCTACAGTTATGATCCTTCTTTTACATTTATGTTATTATTTTAAAGTCTCAGACAAATTTTCCTACAGACCATGTATTTAAGACATATATTTACAGGGAACAATAATCTAGTTTTGCCAGCATATGACTTCAATATGGATTCTACCAAAGTACCACTAGGTGGCAGCAACTCAACAAAAACAGATCACAGTTAAACTTGATTTTTACAGTATGCATTTTAAAGTGACACTAAACTCAGGAGTTACATTTTAAAAATACATTCAAGTACCCCAACTTTTAACAAAAATGTGTCTTATTTGTGTATCACTCAGCTGTAGATCCTCAAATCATCTCGGAATTGGTACTGACCGGTGCTCAGTTCCTTCTGGAGCGTGGCTACTTTTGTTCTCCATGGTCCCTGTGTGTATTGTAAAGTAGCCACTGCTCCAAGCTCGTCCCGTGATGGACTAAAATTTCATGTTTAGTTTACTGATTTGTATTCAGATTGTAGTCCACCACAGGAGTGAGCTTGGAGCGGTGGCTACTTTACAACACACACAGGCACCATGGAGAACAAAGGTAGCCACCCTCCAGAAGGAAGGACAGTGTCAGCACCAATTCAGAGATGATTTGATACACAAATAAGATACATTTTTATTAATAGTTTTAGTACTTGAATGTATTTTTAAGATTAAACTCCTGAGTTTAGTGCCACTTTAAAAGGCATAATGTAAAAATCAAGTTTACAAGTTTAACGAGTTAAAAGATAATCAATACAATGCCTGCTACTGCTCAATAACTGCTACATAATGCATGTTATAAATAAAGGTTAAATATTATGGCGAGTTGAAGGACAGAATTGTAAGACAGAATTAAAGTAAACCTTAAACACAGAGAGGATGCACACACTACAAATAAAAACTGAAACTGAGTATAAATAGAAATTAAATATTACTCTTGTGTCCCACTATGTATACAAATCATACTGCAGAGCAAGGAGGAACCAGGGCAAGTAGGACCTTTAAAAAATGGCAGGTACCTAAGTGGATATTCCCTTGGGCTTTACTCAATAACAGTGCAAGGAGCAATCTAATTGCATAACACCTTGCAGACCATCATTTACCCACTCATGGCAGTCTCCTGCTATCTATATAAGGCTCTAATTGGTTGTGGTGAATAACTGTTTGTGCCAGGTAGAAATAAAATCCCTCCAGACATCAATTAAAGTCACAAGGAGCAAAGCATTGTTCCCAAAATAATCAATCAGAATCCATCTTGAACTGTCCTGGCTTTAGTAAAGTGACATCTCATTTGTTTAAATGGGTTTCTACACTTTGTTCCTTGCGCTGTTTATTGAATGTATTAGAAAAGACGTGTGTGTTAAAAAATACTTTAAAAATACATTCAAGTACCCTATTAACAAAAATGTATCTTATTTGTGTATCACTCGGCTGTAGAACCTCAAATCATCTCTGAATTGGTGCCGACACTGTCCTTCCTTCTGGAGCGGGGCTACTTTTGTTCCCCATGGTCCCTGTGTGTGTTATGTAAAGTACCCGCAGCTCCAAGTTTGTTCCTGTGATGGACTACAATCTCATGTTTAGTTTATTAATTTGTATTGAAATTATAGTCTATCACAGGAGTGAGCTTGGAGTGGTGGCTGTAAAGTATCCCTGTA